CACCATCATGTGTAGCCTGGACCGCTGCAAGGGTCTCCCTTGCCCTATTTTTCTTTTCTATTCCTTTAATATGAACATTGATCTGATCCTTTTCTTTTTTTTTAAAAACATTTATTTTTCAATTACCGTTGATTGACAATATTATTTTATATTAGTTTCAGGTATACAGCATAGTGGTTAGACATTTATATAGTTTATGACATTTATATAGACATTTATATAGTTCACCTGGCAGCATACATAGTTTTTATAGTATTATTAATTATATTCCCTATGCTGTAAAACCAGTGTTTCTTTAAATAAGTAAATCAGATGCTTTCACTTGGCTGATTAAAAAAGTTCACAATGACTTTCTACTTCTCTTGAAATAAATTGAACATTTCTTATTCTGGCTTACAAAATATTTACTCCTGATCTGTTTTTGCTTTTCTCATGCTGCTCTCCTTCTCACCTTCCATGCTCCAGCTATACTGCTCCCATATCCTAAGCTAGTTCCTGCTAGGGCTTTTGCACTGATTGAGCCTGGAAAGTTTTCTTCCCTGTGTCCTCACATGATTGATTTGCTCTAGTCATTAGCTCTCAGGTTACATGTTACCTCCTCAGTAAGGCCTTTCCTCACCATTCTATCTAAAGTAGCCATCCAGTCATTTCCCTGGATCTTGAGAGCTGCTTGGGAGTCTTTTCCCTTCCCTAGTCAACAGTCTAGGGGAATTCAAAACTTCCACCAGACTTCTGCGAATCCCCAAGGACTTAACTTCACATTACTTAATCTTGAATTTCTTGTTCTGGAGGTGCTGGCCCTGTCTCACAGTTGTCTTAACTTTGCTGGGGAGTTATCTCCCTCATCAATTTCCCCCAAACCACTCACATCAAGTATTCCAGGAGCTAAACAATTGATGGAATTTTTGAGGGATCCAGGGAGGAGGGAGGTCCCACTGTTCACTGCATGGACTCCAGCCCCTCCACCAAGTCATCTTTCTACCCTCCTCTGGCTCTCAAAGGCAGAATAGTTCCTCCTCTTGGTTCACTCAGAGCAACTTCACCCCTCCTCCTGAAGTCTTGGCTCCAGTCTGTAACCATGTCCTGGGGGAAAGGTTTTCTGTCTTAACTGGGGTTACTGATACATTTTCTTAACAAAAGACGTTTTACTCACAAGAAGAATTCTTGTTCTAGCTGCTAAGGGAATAACGTTTTACTGTCACAGTTAAGAGGCAGAGTTGGGATCTGAACCTAGATTTGTCTGTTTGAGTTTGGAGCCAATGATTTTAAACCATTGCATCAACTGTGTCCCCGAAATACTAGTTCAGGCTGCTGATGACTATCAATGGTTGCTCACACACATGTACATGCACACATGTACTTTTCTGCAGAGGAAATGCATGCTCATCTGGCCTATTTCAGAAGGCCATTCTAAAGGCCAAATAACAATTTTTACAGGCCTTCCAAAGCTAGCCTCAGGACATCTGGTCACCGGGTCCAAATCCTCATGATGTATTAGACAGATGCACAGAGAGGGGACATGTAGCCAGACCTCTCGATGCCAGGTAATATGCTCTTTATACTACCCAGAGATGCTTCTTCACTTTCTTCCCTTCCTGTCCCACCCACTGGTTCCCCTGTGTTGCTGTGTGTGCCTTCACCCAGCCCAAGCTATCTCTTTCTCTGACAAAGGAGTAAAAAAGCCCACTACTCTAGGCCTTATTTTCTACCTTTCCCAATTGATCAGCTATGTTCCACAAGGCTGACAGTTATGTAAGCTGTTTGGATGTAGGGTTATGTGGGTGAGGTTTTTGCTTTAGGATGATCAGAGCTGGGAGACCCCTATGTGTTAAAATGAGGAGGTCTCTCTTTCTCTCTCTCTCTGTATGTGTTTAAAGCCAGGCATCTGTCTACCTTCCAAGAACTAGAAATAGCCCTCTTTACAGTTTAATGTACCTGAGGAAAGTACTTTTGGTTCTAAACCATTAGGAGCTTCTGGCAAGCTTTATATTAAATGTTGGAATGGGGATTCGACTTTGAATTTAGACTTTTAACCAGTTTTTCAGACTAACGCAGTCTCAACCCTGAACTCTTATGATGGAAAGAAAGAAAGAAAGAGAGAGAGAGAGAGAGAGAGAGAGAGAGAGAGAGAGAGAGAGAGAGAGAAAGAGAGAGAGAGAAAGAGAGATAGAAAGAGAAATAGTGATTTGTGGGGGCTGCGATGTGGAGAGAGAGAGAGAGAGAGAGAGAGAGAGAAAAGAAAGAAAGAAAAAACAAAGAAAAGAAAGAAAAAATAACTATGCTTTGTTCCAGCTTGCCAGAATCCTGACCCTGGCCTATGCTTTCTGTTTTTAGCCCCATCCTGTCCTTTAGTTCTTTAAACTCTGGTTCCAGATTTTGACCCTGGTGTTGGCTAAGTACTTTGAAACTTCCTGCTGCCTTGGGTGTACATGCTAAACTTGTTCTGGCTCCTGTGTCAATCCAAGCCCCGCCACCTTTCCATGTCAACCCTGGCCTCCGCAAGCAAAAGTCTGGGCCTGACAGCATTGTATTTGTTAGTGCTTCTGCCTTCCCTGAGCCGTGAGCTCCTGGAGGGAGATCATATTCAGGTTTGATCACATTCAGGTGTAACCCCTCAACTTTGATAGCAAGGAGGGTGGAGAAAAAATCCTGGATCAAGGAACAGGTACTCAGAACCCAGAAGGAACTAAAACACATAGCACTCACCCCATGTGGAGGGACAAGGACAGGAGCCCATTGTTCAGAGCCTTGGGGCTTTCCCTGCCTGAGCCCCTGCCTGGACAACATGGTGTTTGATGAGTCATTGTACAAATTAAAGGGCTTTTGGCACAAGTAACAAACCAAGATCTGCTAACTCTTGCTAATGTAAACAAAAGGGGAAACCCAGACATCCATGGATGGATGAATGAACAAGCAAAATGTGCATAGTGGAATGTTGGTCAGCCTTAAAAAGGAAGGAAATTCTGACTCATGATACAACATGGATGAACCTTAAAGACATTGGGTTAAGTGAAATAAGGCAGTCACAAAAGGACAAATACTGTATGATTCCACTTATATTAGGAACGTAGAATAGTCAAGTTCATAGAGACAGAAAGTAGAATAATGGTTATGAAGGGCTGGGGAAGGGAGGAATGGGATGTTATTGTTCAATGGGTATAGTTTCAGTTTTGGATGATGAAAAACTTCTGGAGATGGATAGTGGTGATGGTTGCACAACAATGTGAATGTAGTTAATGCTGCTGAATTGTACACTGAAAAATGGTATATATGTTTTATCATACACAAATCAGAACTGACTTAAAAAGTTATTCCAGAGGTGCTAAATGCCACCATGGCTCTTCAAGAATTAAAAAAAAAAAAAAAAAAGAATAACGGGAAGAATGCTGGGGCATCTCATAGAACTGAAAGACTAGCTAAATCTCCAAGCCTTGAGTGGGGACAGGAAACAGGACAGCTCCAGGGACTTCAGTGCAAGAGTTCACAGACTTCTTCCCTTTGGGATGATGCTATTACAGCAACCAGTATGTGCTTCTCTGGTCCAAATTTCATCTCTCTGAGAGTCTGATTGGCCAAGTGTGGTCAAGTGGCCATCAGGGTAGATTAGCTTTAGTTGGGGGAGGTGTGGCAGGCTCCTGTATTACCTACCACTGGAAATCACTGGGGGCAGTAATGGTCCAGTTTACTGGAATCCAAGTCATTGAGTGGCCAGTTTTCAGAAAGATCACTTCTCCAAATTCATTTGTTTCTCTTAATTATATAGCTTTAATTGTCTGACTTTTGTTTTGCCTTCTCAACAGTATTTTGAGACAATGTTGAGTTTCGTTAGTCAGCTTTCTGCTGTTAAGCTGGAGGTAGAGAGGTAGTGGGAAGGGGAGATTGAGTATGTATGTCTGGACTTGGTACCATGTAAACTCTCCAGCCACCAACCTTGACAAAATTCTCAGGTGAATGTTGAGAAGCCTCTGAAAAAACTGAGATTAAGTTTATTCCACCCAAGCAGAAAGGACTCAGGAAGTTAGGAATCAAGTTGGTGATAAAGGAAATTTTCTTTATTGAATGGTTGAGTTTTAGACCAAGATTTTTACCTCCAACCTAGTCTAATGCCCTTTCCTTGCCCTGAAAAGCTTAGTGTAGGAGGTAGATGCTCACCTCTTTTTTTGTTTCGGAATTCTCTATACCCATGCCACCTGTAGGAAAGACGAAATCTCAGGAAGATCTAGCAAAGCCTCTGCAAAAGGAACAAAAATCATGAACGTATGAATATTCTCACCCTAGTCTCCTAAGAAAAAGTTATGTTTTAAAAGAAAAGAATAATAGAAGAAAAAGATCTAGGAAAAGGATAAGGATAGACAGGAAAAGCCAAGAGTTCTGTGGGGCTCTTAATGAGTGAGAGGCCAGAGATGGTCTGGTTGGTTGGAAGCTGGATATAATTAGTTTAGAATGCCTAGTGTCTTGGTGTGAGAGGAGGACTAATTTTTTTGCGAGGCAACCCTTGGTTGACTTCACAGATTGCAAAGACCTTGTCAGTTTGCAATCCCTTATTTTAAAATTTTTTATGCCTATGCAAAGACCTTGTCAGTTTACAATCCCTTATTTTAAAATTTTTTATGCCTCCAGGGCCTGATCTTCCTAGGTGGTCTCCCATCCAAGTACTAACCAGGCCTGACCCTGCTTAGCTTCCAAGATCAGGGTAGCATGGCCATAGATGAGAGGAGGAATTGAAAGCAGAGCAAGGAGATGGATGTGAAAGATGTTTTTCTATGTATTAAGAATGTCTGTCTGCTCACCTCCTTTAACTTTAGCATTTCCTCCAGAGACTGAAAAATATTCAAAATACTTTTATTGTTTGGATCATTGCTTGTTTCTCTGAATGTGACTCTGTCATTCAGACCACAAGGCTGTCTGCGTTTTCATTGGTTCACACCTTTCTTTCCTGAACCTGACTTTCCGCTGAGGCCTGATCGTCATGGGTAGTTGAGGAGCTGAGCTTGGCCTTTCTATGATCTAATGGATTTAACCCGGGCCATGTTCCTGGCGGGTAGCAAAGGCAGATTGGAATCATTGATGTAATCTTGGACCCATTTTTCATTGGGATTGGCGCAGATCTCTCGATTCTTTTTGGTGATGAAGCTGTGGAGGCAGAGTTAGACTGTCATGAGCCATGGAATAAAGTGGGGGTTCAGTCCATACTCCCCCACTTCTAGCTCACATGGGGCTTACTAGGCCTCCCCTTCTTGGTCCCCTCAGGGAACTCCCTCTCTGGCCTCTAGACCTCATCAACCCTTCTTTTAGCCCTGTCTCCACTCAGCCTAGACTCTCAGGCTTGGGTTTCATTATGACCACCATTTATTGGGCCACACAGCTATCAGCAGCAAAATCAAGAGATAAACCCAGATTTGTCCTGTGAGATTCAAAGCCTAAGCCCTTAACCACTACTCTCCTACTTCTAGCATGGAGATTTCTTGGTTCTGTGCATCCCATTCTGGCCCCGGGTTACTCTTCCATTTTCACAGAAATAATCTGTAGGGAAGTGCTTACATGATTGCTGGCAGGTAACAGCTGAGGGCCTTTCTGTGTCCCACCACCAGTTTCCTTGGTATTATTTTCTCATGATACGTCATGCAGCAGGTGCGTGGAAGATTCACCGACTCAGGAATTTCTAAGGGAAGCACATTGAAAGCTGAGCCAAGGGTCAGAGAACGAGCTCATGGCTGCCTACCTCCATGTCCCATCCACTGCATTACACTCCACTGATGGCAAAGCCATCTGTTAGCAGGGACTGATCACAGCTGGTGGCAAAGCTTGGAACATCTCGAGAGCGCAATTTGGCTGATCCATGCTTTGGGTGGGCCATTTTCTCTTCCTTGAAGCCTCAACCCATTGCATGGGCCTGCTTGACCTTCCCAAAGAGCATTGTTGCCCCCTCCCACCCACCAGATGCACCTCTGCACACAGTGACATTCATGTCCTTGTTTACAAAGACTGGGGACATCTTGAGAGTGTGTGTGGGCAGATTATGTTGTGTGCACAACCCTTGTCCCCTGAATATTTATACAGGCAGATTTGGGCCAGACATACCCAATCTTGCCAAGGATAAGTAACATAAGAGAGAAAAGAAGTACTGGGGCAGCTGAAGGCAGGTATGTGGAAGGACTGAGTGTCTTGGTTCCCTGTCACCAGGTCCTCATAAATGCTGGTGGAGGCAGGGGAAGGGTATAGGCAAAACAAACCTTGTTTTTCATAGCTCCCAGGGATCCTATAGCTCCGAAAGCTTTCAACCCCTTTCCTCTTTTCCATAGACTTTATTTAGACCTATGCTGGGGGATGGAGATGAGGGCCATGAACCCCAAACAGTACACTTGGGCATCCCATTGGGATTCCTTTTGGCTGCCATGATAGTTACAGCAATCTGTGCCAGACACTGCAGGAAGGGGTGCCTAGGTTCAGACTCCTTACTCCCGAACTTAGCCCCAGCCATCACTTTAGCTTTCCTCCCAGTACCCTTTGTGTTGCTCTCCCAAGAAGCAGGCTTTTCTCACCCACTTGCCTTGCCTGCCTCTTCATCACATATGTTTATTATTGTCTCTTCTGTTACATTCTTGGCTCCCTCTCTTAAAGGCTTATTCCTACTCTACATTCTTGGAGCTTCTGATATAACTTTGACCCAACATCCTAGAACTGCGCAACCCCAGAAGGATCTGGACCACGGCTCATATCTATTCTACAAAGGGGAGAGTTCGAAAATAGCAGCTATGCATGCAGAGGGGGAGAGGCCCCCAGCGATAATGATGGAGACCTGATAGCACTACCTGATAGGGCTGTCAGCTGCCCTATCCCCCTTTTTCATTGCTGCCTTACAGGGACAGGTGGACTTACTTGTTTGGCTGTGAAAAGCAGAAGTCATGGTGAGGATGAGGATGAGGAGAAAGAGGGCAGCTGCAGAGACCTTCATTCTCTCAGAGGGGTAGTTCAGCTTCAGGGGAGGCTGAGTGGAGATGTCCTTGCTGCTGGTCTTTCCCTCTCTGACCTCTCAACTCTCTGGACTCTGACCACTTAGGAGCTGGTGTAAGAGGAGAAACAACAGGCCTCCCTCGTGGAAGGCGGGGCCTGGTGCAAAGCTGAATTTAGTAAGATTTGAATTTATG